ACTACCAGAACTCCAGGGAGTCAGGGGCAAAAGAATTGCTACAGCTACTGAAGTGGCACTTGGGCTGGCTTTGCAGGAAAAACAAGCCTGCATCTGGTTTAAGATCCTGTTGTCCAGGCCTTTGGTGCTCATTGGAGCCCTGGTGATGTAATGGTTACAAGTTGGGCTTCCATCCAGTAGGCTGGCAGTTCGAAACCACCAGCCTCTCATTGGGAGACAGACAGGGCTTTCTCCACTCAGAAAATCTCAGTAACTCAAAGGGGGCAGTTCTACCCTGTCCTATAGGGTCCCTATGAGTTGGCATCGAATTGACAACAGCGTTTGTTTGGTTGGTTTTCGATGCTCATTGCTCAGCCTACTCCTCACTCATACAGTTGGGAACATGCGTTGCTTGTAGCTGTGCCAGCAGAGGGGCAAGAATATGTTCTTCCTCTTGGATCCAGTGTCAAAACTACAGGAAGGTCTTTTATTGGCCCATGTTGGGACACATGTCCACCCTTATGTTCAGAGAGGCAGGAGATTATGATTGACAGCTCTGGTGACCCCTCGGAGTGAGAGGAGGAGCACTTGGGGCCTCCCACAGAAAATCTAAACAAACCAGCGGCTGTCCTGCTGGTTCCGACTCCGGAGCAGAACTACGCTCCTTGGGAGGCGCACTGGCTGAGAGGTGGCCTGTGGGATACGCGGTGGACTGCTCACTGCAGGCTGGCGATTCAAGTCCACCAGCCGCCCCTCGGGAGAAAAACGAGGCTGGCTGCTTCCATGAAGGTTCGTGGTCTCCGAAACCCTAGAGAGGGTCGCCAAGAGTCGGAACTGGGGTGATGGCTGTGGTTTGGGTTTGGTTCTTGATCTTTTGCAAAGGCACCAGCCCTTTCCCCCAAGGTGCTCCTGGCGGTTTGGGGCCAGCTGTGCTTCTGTTAGTAGCAGGCCAGCGCTGCACCCCGGAGACCACCTTCAGTGGGGCACCCACTTCACTGAGCAGGGATGTGTTCTTCCCTCCCGGGAGGGAGGGGGTAGGTGGGCTCTTTTGTTTATATCTTTGACTTTGTGGGAGACAAACACCCCTCTCCGAGGAGCTGCTGCTTAATGAGACCGTTTACATGCCAAGCAGAACCGATCCTCCCGCAGAGCCAGCGAGTGGTTGGAAAACAGAAACATGGACAATCCGTTAGGATTGTCTAAGTGTTCAGTTTATCAAGCAGCGTATGTGAGAGGAGAGAAAGCCATCCAACGAGTGAGAGCCATCCCTTAAGACTTCTTAGCCTGCCTGTCCTTCAAGGCAGTCCCGTGGGGGCTTCTGGGAAATGCTGAGCCTCGGGTCCCGCCTGTCAGTGGGGGTGGGGCTGATGGGTGCTCATGGGTTTGTGACGGTTACACGGAGTTTGGGTGTGGGAGACACCAGGCACGGTGACTGGTCCAAAGGCCAGCGCTCGGCTGGCGGTTTTGATGGTGATGATAAGGATGGCGATGTTCTAGGACTTCACTGTGGGATCAGATAACAAAGAAGGCTTGAAGCACTTACCAAGGAAAACCAAGGACTGCCGCCTGGTGCGGAACCTCTTCCCCTCCCCTTTCCATCTCCCCCACGCCCCGCCCCGCCCCGCCATGAAATGAAAGCAGCATCCTCCCAGGGGACTAATGGACAGGAGGAATGGAGAGCGTGCTAAAATTGTCCAGGATTTCATCTTACTTGGGTCCACGGTCAGCACTCATGGAAGCAGCTGTCAGGAGACCGAAAGACACAGGTCTGGCATCGGGCACATCTGCTGCAGAAGGCCCCTTACATGTGTCCAAAAACCAAGTGGCCACTTGGAGGCCCGAGGCGCTCCTGACCCATGCCATGGGATTTCAATGGCCCCGTCTGCGTGGCGTGAAAGCAAGTGGAGAAGAATGGACGTCTTTGCCTCCGACCACGGACAGTGCCGCCGCCTGCCAGGAACGAGGGTGGGGAAGCTTCATCCCATGTACTTTGTGTCAGCAGGAGGGGCCGGTCCGTGGAGAAGGACTGGGGCTTGGTAAAAGAGAGTCGGTGACAATAAGGGAGATCTTCCATGAGAGCGATTGGCACAGTGGCTGCCAGGAGGGGATTTCACATGAGGATGTGGGGGTCTCTGTGAGTGGAGCTGCCCCAATGACCACCAGCTACAGCAGTGTTAAACTGGGCAGTGTGTGTCTGGTAGGGGGGGGTCTTTTTCTGCTGACATTGGTCCGTGATCAGACAGGCGCCAGCTACCCGACAGCTCTAGTCCTCTTGACTCACTGCTTTCTCACCAAGAACACTCCCTCCCTCTGCTGCTCCTTGGCTAAATCGTTGCCATGGAACCAACTATGCCTCATGATGCACCCCCACCTGTGTCCGAGGCACCCTGTGCTCCGTGGGCTTTTCAGTAGCAGATCGCCAGGCCTTTCTTCTGAGGGCTGCAACTCCCAGCCTTCCGGTGAGTAGCCAGCATGTGAACTGGGCTCCGTTCAACAGGAACTAGCTGCGGGGAGGGCGCTCGAGACCAGGGAGACAGGCTGAGCAGGGGCAGGGAAGTGTGGGGTGGGGCCGGTGGGGAGTCAGGTGTGCAGCCTGAAGTGGGGGAGAAGGAGGGAGGCTGGCTGGTCTCTCTGCCCATGAGCAAGCCCTGCCGGTCCTGTGGAGCTGGGGAGGATCTCTCGCTTGGAAGCCCGGGATCTCTTTCCATCTGCTCATTGTCCTGCTGAGTTGTAAAGAGCTAAATGTCATTATCCTCCCATTCCTTAAACAAGTAAAAAAGTTAACAGCCTGAGAAAAGGAGATATTTCACATCACTTGGCACCCAGCCACCAGCATGCACTCAGGGTGCTCCCGGGGGCCTGATTAAGGATGGGGAGAAGCCCCTGTTCTCCTCTGTTTTCAGCTGCGAGCACCCACTCCCTGCAGACTGCAGGATGAGTCCGGCAGGGACTCTCCCGTCAGAGCCCAGCCTGGTCCCTGGTGCCATAGCAGAGAGAGAGAAGACGGGGCCCCTGCTTGTAAGGTTTGCTCTCCGCGAGCCCAGAGAGTGAGCTTGAACCGAGAACGACGGGGAAGACTCCCACTTAATAGAAGGACAGGCTCGGAAGCTTAAAAACCCAAACCTGTGCCTTCGAGTTTCGGCCGACTCCGGTGGCCTTGTGGGTTAGAGTAGGACTGCTCCGCAGGGTTTGCTTGGCTGTCAACTTATGGAAGCAGATCACCAGGCCTTCTGCCCTGGCACTGTGGGGTGGATCCCAACTGCTAGCTTTCACTTTAGCAGCCCATGGCAGACCATGGGTGCTGCCCAGGAGTGCCAGGCCCATTCAAAAATGGATGGAGTCCACCACAAGGGTGGCGGTTGTCCAAATGCAGAGCAAAGAAGGCAGGAGGAGGATGGAAGAGGTGGCACGGAATGGGCACAGGGAGCCCAAGGCGGATGTGGGGAGAGTGCTGGCACGTCGCGGGGCCTGCAACCAATGTCACAGAACATCGTTGCTCCATGGGGAACGGATTTGCGTCGCCTAGGAGCTAGGAGCCTACATGTGGCTTAAAAGCACCTCTCAGCACCCTCGCTGCTCTGGACAAGAGGAGGAGGCTGGAAGACGTACTGGGTGGCTCGGGTTCGTTCCAGCTGGGAGATTCTGGCCGAGAGAGGCCACCGTCTTCACCAGCTGTAAGAGGCTCTGCTCATCCCTGCTAAGTGGGTTTTTGGCTGCCTGAGGGTGGCTGCCAGGCCCACAGGAAGGAGTGGGCAGGCAGCACAAGGTGTGCTTCACCTTCATTACTCTGATTACGGGGCTATTAAGGAGTTCACTCTGGAATGGTCCCCCGAGGAACTCTTCCTGCTTCTGTCGCTGACAGTGGTCCTCTCAGCAGCCCAGTGGGCAGTGGTGTCCTGCAGGGCTCAACACTGTAATTAAATAAAGATCACCCACCTACTGGGCCTCCCCCCACCAGCTGGAGTCCTGTCCCGGGAGACTGCCCGGCCTGGCCTGAGCAGTTGGCTCACGGCACAGAGGTGGGCAAGGGCCAGAGTCTATGGCCCAGGGCTGGCCAGACGCTCCTCCCCAGGGGACTGAGGAAAGGTCATGAATGCAGGATGTGTCTGGTTGGTGTGGAGGGGGCAGAGGCCGCCTGCGCGGCCAGCCAAAGCCTCTCGATAGCTTCCCCTGGTCTCCCAAAGTGCCCCTATGGGTCCCCCTGGTGGGCACTTGAACAACTAGAGGGGCTGCAAAACCAGAGAGGTCCACTCCATGTATCCTGGATAATGGGTTGAGAACTAATGCTTTTAATGGTCAGGGAGGCTCTGAGTACTGTTTTTTCTTTCTGGAAAGGAGGCACAGTATAGGCCACATAAGCGTAGGAGCCTATGGTTTTGACTGCACTCTGGAGGCTGGGATGGGCTCTCTCATCCTCCACCCGTAGCCCCGCAGGGGGGGTGGGCCTGAGGCCAAAGGAAACACAACAGACAGCGGCAGAGCAAGGAACTTTGAGCTGATTCCGACTCCAGGTGCCACTTGCCAGAAGCCCTCCACAGGGTTTGCTCCCGGGCACTCTGGAGACGCAGGCCAGCAAGCCTTTCTTCTGCAGCCCAGCCGCGGGATTCGAACAACCAACCACTAGGGCCGACGCTGATGGCAAACTGACTCAAGTCACACGGGAGTTGCTGTAAGGCCAACGTGTGCTTCCTGAGACTCCAAAGACACACACTGGCCCCCGGGACTAGGAAATGGCCCCACTGAAGCGGCTATCTCTGTCTCCTGAGACTCACGGCCACGTTCCGTCTTTGGCAGGTTGGCCCTTTCTTGTCCTTCACGCAGCCACTCCCATAAGGATGCTGACTGGCCTTCCGGCCTCCCCCAGCTAGCTAATAAAACTGGGCCCCACCTCCTTCAGGCCTCCAAGCGCCCTAGAGGTTCAAAGTCTCCTTTCAAAGTTCTCCAGAGGGAAGCTGAGGGGCTCTGCTCTGCTCCCGGTGCCCAGTCCTGGTTCAATCAGCTGGGTCCGGGGCGCAGGCTTCTCAGAAGGCCAGCGGCCGGTCTGCGGCGCCCTCGCCCTCCAGCTCCATGGCCTCAAAGAGCAGCCGCACCAGCGCCAGCCGGCCCTGGGCCACCAAGGCGCGGGCCAGCCCCAGCACCTCGTCCGTGTGGCCGCGCCACACGCGCTGCAGCTCCTGGCGCAGGCGCCCCGCCGGGTACTTGTCCTGGGCGCGGCGCAGCCACACGTCCACCTCGCGGCCCAGCTCGCTGTCGCTCAGCAGCTCCTGGCTCCGCTGCGCCAGCAGCGCCTCCAGCAGGCAGCCGAAGCCCTCGGTGTGGCAGGAGCCTGTGTCGTCCAGCTCCACGGCGCGCTTGAAGCAGGCCGCTGCGTTGGCCTCCTCACCCTTGATGCGCAGACATTTGCCACGAAGCAGCTGCAGCTCTGGCAGCGTCGCGCCCACCTCGCACTCACTGGCCTTGGCCAGGAAGACCAGGGCCTGGTTCAGCGCCGCCTCGTCCACCGCCATCAGCTCCTGCACGGCGTCCACGCCCATGTAGTAGTACACCTGTGGCGGGAGGCTGAGGGGTGAGCTTTCCTCCTGGAGGTCACGAACTCTCGGTCCCATCCTTCCATCCGTCCATCTGTTCCTTCATACATTCGGTCGTTCACCAACCAGTCATCATCCATTCATCCAGGCCCCCTCGACAGCTAGCAATCACAAACGGTGTCCCCTCCCCCTCGCAGGATCCTCAGGTGGGAAAGAGAGGCTGTGCTCAGATGTCAGTTCCTGCCCCTCCACTCTCACTCTCCCCTGGGAAAACGGACATGGTGGCCACCTTGGCAGCCCCAGGCACAGACGGCACTTCTTACTGAATGCACACTTAGTCGGTGTGTAGAAAGTGCCAGGTCCTGCCCGTCACGCTGTCCATCAGCATGGTTGAGAGGCGGGACTGTGACGAGGCAGGGGGAGTGCCTTACCCCCGCTCTTTCCTCAGTGGTCAGACCCAGCCGAACCCCCAAACCCACTGCTCTAGAGCTGAGTGCCACTCACAGTGACCCTCCACAGGGTTTCTGAGGCGAGACATCTTTATGGGAGCAGACAGCCTCCTCTTTTTCCTGTGGAGCGGCTGGTGGCTTTGAACCACCAACCTTGTGGCTATCAGCCCAGCAGCACCCCCAGGGCTCCTTAGGCATGGAGTACATTCTTGGTTATGCATCGACCAGAGCTAAGCTCAGAGGCTGCCTTACCTGGCTGATGTCCAGGTAGGTCTTGATGCCTGGGCACACCTTGACCACTTCCTCAAGGTCAGTCTTGGCGCAGGCCAGGTGGTTCCTGTCAGGCATGCCCCCGAGTCCCATCTTGGCCCGCTCCAGGTCATGCAGGTAAGTTTTGATGTGGATCTGCCGACAGAGAGAGTCGATCAGGGAGCATCTCAAGGCAAGGACCCCCGTCCTCCTTTCTGCCCTTTCTCACAGTGGTAACTTGGGGCAGTTCTGTAGGGCAGCTAGGAGCCGGCAGTCAGTGCTCGTCTGTGCCAACATGGACTAGCGGCTGCCCCCTCTGGACCTTAGTTTCCCCAGCGGTACAGTGAGGAGGCCACAGCGGAAGAGCCCTTCAGTCATTCGCTCGTTCATTCCCCAGGGGCGTGGGCCCCCGTGGCAGGAGGGCCAGTGGCAACAAGACGGATGAAGCCTGCCCGGCGGGGCTTCACGTTCTGGCAGGCGAGCGCATCGCAAACAGCAAGCAGACAAAGCCACTGCCTGTGGTGAGATGCGCGCGGAGAGAGGAGACACGGGCACTGGGATGGAGGTGCCGTGGAGAGGGGGCCTGTCCCACAGGACGGCGTCACCATGAACACCCTCAGGGAGACCTTCGTCACGACAGTGAGCTCAGACAACCGCCATCATTCAGGTGGCACAGGATCGGGCAATGTTTCAAATCCTGTCTCCACTGTGAGCCAGCAGTTTGGACAGAACAGGCTTCGATTTACACATGTGGAATTACGAAGGACTCCAGACCCTTCCCATTTCCATCCCCACTTCCTGTCTCCCTCCCTGCTCCCCGCCACACCGGCAACGTTCAGAACATCTAGAGATTCCAGCAGGAGGAAGTAAGAAAGCGAAGGTGGCTGTTGTGAGAGGTATCAATGCTTTACAGCCACTGGGGTAGGTTCAGGCTACAAGACAGCACCGTGGGCTGGGGAGCCTGGGCTTTGGATTCAGCTGGACTTGCGTTAGAACTCTGGCTCTCCCCTCCCCTCATTAGCCATGCGACCTGGAAGATATATTGTAAGCTATATTTCCCCCTTCTGAAAAACGAGTACACTGATGTCCTCCCTGGGGGTTACCATGGCTACTGAGAAGCCATAGCCTAGTTCACTGCTGTTGAGTGGATTCCAACTCATAGCACAGGGTATGAGGACAGGTTAGAACTGCCCCAGTGGGAGAAGAGCCAGCCAGGGTGCAGTATAGCACTGATGAAACATACAACTTTCCTCTAGTGCTTTAATGCTTCCTCCCACACCCCCTCTATCATGACCCCAATTCCACCTTACAAATCCGCCTAGACCAGAGCATGTACACTGGTACAGATAAGAGCTGGAAACACAGGGAATCCAGGACAGATAACCTCTCAGGGCCAATAATGAGAGTAGCCATACCAGGAGAGTAAGGGGAAGGTGGGGGGAGATAGGGGAACCGATCACAATGATCTACCTATAGCCCCCTCCCAAGGGGATGGGCAACAGAAAAGTGGGTAAAGGTAGGACAGTGTAGGACATGAGAAAAAAAATCTCTAAATTATCAAGGGTCTGTGAGGGAGGGAGGGTGGGAGAGGGAGGGGAACAAAGGAGGAGCTGATACCAAGGGCTCAAGTAGAAAGAAAATGTTTTGAGAATGATGATGGCAACAAATGTACAAATGTGCTTGACACAATGGATGGATGGATGGTGATAAGAGCTGTATGAGCCCCCAATAAAATGACTTTTTTTTAAAGTCATCTAGGGGAAAAATGTTTTGAAAATGATGATGGCAACAAATGTACAAGTGGACTTGACACAATGGATGGATGTATGGACTGTGATAAGAGTTGCATGAGTCCCCAATACAATGAACTATTAAAAAAAAAAAGAACTGCCCTGGTGGGCAGTTTTACAGGAGTAGAAAGCCCTGTCTTTCTCCCATGGAGTGTCTGGTGATTTCGAACTGCTATACTTGAGGTCAGCAGCCCAAAGAATAACCACCAGGGCAGCAGGGCTCATAGCTTATAGTGGGTGTTCAGTTCCTCCATCAAGAGCTTACTCTGTTAGCTACTGTTCTGGGCACTAAGTAAACAGTAAAGAGGTAAGTACATCGTATGCTAAGGAGTAACACGTGCTAAAGAGAACACCTGCCTGGCAAGGTAGACCCCAGTATTGGCAAAGGGTTGACATTTTAAGTAAATCGACCACTAGAGGCTGCCTGCGGTGTGAAGACCTCTAGGAGGTGAGGGAGGACGTCTGCTGGAAGTCAGACTTGAGGCAAGACCCAGTCTCACAGGCCAAGGGTCAGGAAGGGGCCAGGGTGGCTAGAAGGGAGTGGGCAAGGGGCTGGCAGAGGGAGATGAGAGGTCATGCGGCCAGCTCCCTATGGAGCTGATAGGTCACAGCACGGATGAAGCTGATGCAGTTCTCCCCCTCTCTCCTCTCCTCCTCGCCCCAGCCTGCTGCGAGTCTGGTCATCCGAGCCGGAAGTGTGCCCTTTGGAGTTGCTGGGAGGCAGCAAGCATGCTGGGAAGACAGGAGTCAGGTCTGCAGTGACGGGAACAGCAGGAGAGTCTAAGTTGAATCTGACTGGACTTGAATGCAGGACGTTGGTGAGTTTGCTACCTCTCTGAGCTCAAGCAGCTTCCTTTGTAGAAGGACATGCCGGCCTTTCAGAGGAGTCTTGTGGGGATGACATGAATCCACGGATAGGAAAGCCCTTGGCAAACGCAGACTGTCACAGAAGTGCCTCCAGGATTCCCGGCCTTCTGACTGTGGGCCCAATGGTGATGTCACAGACAGCAAGACGGAGAGCAGACTGGCCGCCAGGTCCCAGCAAAGGTACTGGGGAGGACAGGGGCGCTGTTTTGCCTGGAGGGACGTCAACCAGAGTCTGGGTTCTTGGAGCAGATGTGAGCACTGCAGGAGGCTGATCTGGGACTAGCGGGGGGCTAAACTTGGCACTTGCTGAGCTGAATGCCCACAGAGGGACGACCTCAAAAGATTGTGAGTCAGGTCCTAAATGTGCCTTGACTCGGCACTAATGTCATGCCATCTCAGCTTAGTATGTGTTGAGGGTCACTCACAAAATCCAATTTAATGCTCACCGCAACCCTACGAGGTAGATACTGTTGCCTCCATGCTACAGAGGGGGAAACTGAGCCCCAGCATTTGGGCAGGAGTATTTTGCCTAAAGTCCAGCAGCATTTAAGTGGCGAAGTGGGATTTCGAACCATGACGGGATGTGTTCAGAGGCAAAGCACTGACTCACTGCACCGAACTGCTTCTATGTGTAAGGAGCCCTGGTGGCGTAATATGATAAGCATTGGGCTGCCAAGGGCAAGGTCAGTGGTTCAAACCCAATAGCCTCTATGCAAGGGTGAGAGGAGGCTGTCAGTTCGTGTAAGAATCTGTCGTCCTGAAAACCCTAAGGAGCAATTCCATCCTGCCTTATAGGGTTGCTGTGGATTTGAACTGGTTCAATGGTAGTGATTTTTTATGGTTTCTGAGACTACAACTCTTTACAGAAGTTGAAAGCCTCGTCTTTCCTCCTAGGTGTGGCTAGTGGTTTTGAACTGCTAACTTCCACTTATGCTATCAGGGCTCCGGTGGTGGTGTTAGGTGCTGTCTGATCCATCTTGACCCCAGGTGATGGAACAGAAGCATCCTATTGAGTTTCCCAGGTTGTATTCTTAGCAGGTCTCGTGCAGCAGGTTGACCCAATGCAATACGTCGCTTGGTCTCTTGACTCCTTCAAAGAGCATTGATCATGGGTTCAAGCAAGATGAAATCCTTGACAAGACCGCTTAAAATGTTGGAAAGCAAGGATGTTATTCTGAGGACTAAGGTGCGCCTGACCCAAGCCTCGGTGTTTTCAATCACCTCCTATGCATAGGAAAGCTGAGCAGTGAACAGGGAAGAGCAAAGAAGAATGGATGCATTTGAATTGCGGTGCTGGAGAAGAACACTGACAGTGCCACGGACAGCCCAAAGAACAAACAAGTCTGTCTTGGAAGAAGTACAGCCAGAATGCTCCTTTGAGGCAAGGATGGCTAGATTTTGTCTCTCGTGCTTTGGACCTGTGGTCAGGGGAGCCCAGTCCGTAGAGAAGGACATCGTGTTTGGCGAAGTGGAGGGGCAGCGAAAAAGAGCAAGGCCCTCAGGGAGATGGAGCGACACGACACCACGCTGCATCAGCGGGCGCAGGCACAGCAACTACTGTGAGGATGGCGCGGAGCGGCTGCGTTCGGTTCTGTTGTCCTTCGGGCCCCTCTGAGACGGAACGGACAGCAGCTGGTGTCCTTGAGAGAAGCAGATTGGCAGGTCTTTCCCTGTGGAACCACAGGGCGGGCCTGGACCAGGAACCTTTCAGTCAGCAGCTGAGAGCTTAACCTGTGTCCTACCAGGTCACCTTCTGCCTTTCAACACCACCTCCTGCACGCCAGGAAACGGGCTTCAGATTTGACTTCTGGCAGCCTTTACAAAGAGGTGTCGTTATCCGTACCTTATGGAGCTCTGGTGGCACTGTGGGTTAGGCATTGAGCTGCTAGCCACAAGGTTGGCAGTTCAAACCCGCTAGCCACCCCGTGGGAGCAGGATGACGCTGGCGGCTCCCATAAAGGGTTCCAGTCTCAGAAACCCGGTGTTGAAGCCCTGACGGTGTGGCAGTTACACGGTGGGTTGCTAACCACCAGCTGTTCTTTGGGAGAAAGACCAGCTTTCTACTCCCGGGAGGGGTTACAGTCTCAGACCCACAGGGCAGTTCTCCACCGTCCACTGAATCACTGTGAGTCGAAATCCACGCGATGGCCGTGGGTAGTCACCCAAACCCTACAGTTTGGGGACTGGGGGCTGAGAATGGTAAGTGGCTTGCCACCAGACGGGGACCTAGGGCAGTCTGGGTGCTGATCAAGCAGAGGCTAGAGGGTCCCGGATCAGGTATTGCGGGAGGATGTCCTGCCGTGTGGCAAGGCCCCCTTCATTCACTCACCAGCCGTTTAGAACACAAATTGGCCACCACCAAGCATCCATAACCTTTGGGCTCTGGGAGCTGGTGTGTGGCTAGGATGGGGAGGGGGGCAGTGGTACCTTGGCCCGTGTGCAGTAGGCCTGCCAGTTGAGTTCCGGGTCCCGGAGGACGTCCAGCGCCATGTTGCAGGTTCCAATGGCCATGTCCTGCTTCCCCAGGAAGTGGAAGATTTTGGCCAGGCGGTTCAGCACGGGGGGCTGGCCCCTGGCAGTCTCGATGGCCTGGGGAGGGGACAAGGGGAAGAGCAGATGCTTTTAAAATTTAAATTAAAAATTTGTTTACATCATACAACCGATCCATTCATCAATCGTATCAAGCATATTTGTACATATGTTTCCATTACTCTTTTCTAGACATTTACTTTCTATTGAGCCCTTGGTATCAGCTCCTCCTTTTCCCCTCCTCACCCCCAGCCTCATAACGCCCTGATAAATGATTATTATTTTCATATTTTACACCGACTACTGTCTCCCTTCCCCCATGTGTCTTCTTTTATTTGTTCCCCTGGGGGGTGCGGTTATGTGTCGATCATCGTGATTGGTTCCCCCGTCCTCCCCTCTCTCCCTCCTTTCCCCCTGTCCTCTGGTATCAGCACTCCCATTCCGGCTCCTGGATTCCGTGTGTGTGAGAAGAGCAGGCTCTGTCTGTGGTTAGCGAGAGCCGAACTCAAAACTCACTGTCCTCCAGCCGATTCCAACTCTTGGTGTCCCCGTCTAGGGTTTACGGGAGCCGATCGCCTCATTTTCCCCCATGGAGAAGCTGGTGGATTTGAACTACTAACCTGTGGCTAGCAGCCCAACTGCAACCCACTGCACCCCTAGGACCAGCTACACAGTGCCTCACCGACGGGACCCCCACCTCTGAGGAAGCCCTATCACCGCAGGGCTTGTGTTCCCAAAGCCACCTGCCTGTAAGTTCAGACGCATCATGGATCCCAACACTTGTGGGTACAGCCCAGTGGCACTCAACTCCTGAGAGTCACTGCCAGGTTTACCTCGCGCAGACCCCTCCCTGTGTCTGCGGGGACAGGAGGAGGAGGCCAGGGCCCTCCCCCACCCTGAGGCAGCCCCCAGCTTCCACCTGGGACAGAGCGCTCCTCAGCGGGGCTGCCCGGTGGGTCTTGTGTGCCTTGCCCGTGAGAAGGTGTGCCCCTTTGGGGCAGGGCCCCTGCCGGTCCTCCCTGAGCACAGCCACTCAGGGGGTTCCCAAGGAAGGAGTGCATTTGCGGCATTGGAAGCAGCTCTCAGAACACTGGTGAGCCAGGCCAGATCCATGGTCTTCCCTGAGAAGCTGCTCCTCCCTCACCCAGGGAGGGGCTGCTGCGGACAGCTCACAGCGGAGAGTACCATGGGGCCCTGGGCTTCCCCGGAAGGCTCCAGACACCAGGCTGTCCCCCAAACCAAGGTGCCTGTGGGGAGGCTTGGGCCGCACCCTGTGATGTTTACAGTGGACAACTCTGCCCACTGCCTACCTCGAGAGCCACTTGGCAACCTATGGGCAGACAGACCAGCAATGAACGCCGGGGCGCTGAGCGCTCAGTGGCTTGCCTGCAGTGCTGGCCCTAGAACTAGGCAGAGCTGGCAAGGGGCACGGGGCCCAGCTGAACCCTCCTTCTTTCCACTCTGCCAGTGGGGGAGGGAGGGAACTCCTGTGGAGGGGACGACATTGGACAGAAGGCTACAGGAGAAGGTGGGGGTGTATTTGGAAACTGAACAGCTGACACGTGGGCCGCGGGGCTGGGCGTGGGGAGGGCCTTAGTCTTAGTCAAGGAGGAATGGGGCATTCCAGAGAAAGTCTGGCGTGAGGGTCCTTCCTTTGGATGGGGCACACGGTGGGGAGCTGTGGGGGGAAGGGGTCAGGCCCCTTCTCCTATGGGGAGTGGGTGCGGCTGGGGCTCCCACCTTGCCGAAGCAGTCCAGGGGGTCGGTCCCCGAGTACCCGCAGTCGTGGACGCCCAGGGGGGTGGTGGAGAAGGTGGCCTTTCTCTCCATCAGGATCCCGAGGTAGCACCAGGCCAGAGCTGTGGGGCGAGTAGGAGAGGGGTCTCAAGGGGGCAGTGGGAGAGGGAGGAGAGTTGCATGGGGGGTGAGCCAGCCCCACCCCAGGCTGTCGGTCTCCATGTTGACAAAGGGGGTTCCTCCCACACCCGGAAAACATCCAAATCCACGGCTGAGTCCGTTCCGACTCCCAGCCACCCTGCAGGTCGGAAAAGAGCGGTCTTAGACGAGGGTGCCCGGGCTGTCAGCTTTTAAAGTCATTTTACTGGGGGCTCGTACAGTTCTTATCACAAGCCATCCATCCAGTGTGTCAGGCACATTTGTACGTATGTTGCATCATCATTCTCAAAGCATTTTCTTTCTACTTGAGCCCTTGGCATCAGCTCCTCCCTCTCCGCCCCCCTCCCTCCCCACAGGCTGTCATCTTTACTATGGAAGCAGACTGCCTCAGGTTTCTTCCACAGGACGACCCGTGGGGTTGAACCTCAAACCTTCCGTTAGCAAACGGAGTGCTTAAACAGCACAGTTCCTCATGTTGTGACCCCCTCACCAACGATAACATTATTTTCGTTGCTACTTCATAACTGTAAGTTTGCTACTATTCTGAATCAGGGGACCCCTGTGAAAGGGTCATTCAACCCCCAAAGGGGTCGCGACCCACAGGTTGAGAACCACTGCCTCAGAGGAATGGGATCTGAACTGAATGGAGCTCAGTGCTAGTGGTGATCGCCATCAGAGTGACCCTGCAGGACTGACCAGATCTGCCTCTGTGGACTTGGAGACTACCTCTTTACAGGAGCAGTGAGCCTCCACTCTCTCCCTCAGAGCAACCGGTGGGTTCAAACTGCTGACCTAGCGGTTAGCAGCCCTATTGATAGCCCCCTATGCCACCAGGGCTCCTTATCCGCAGGGAGAGTGACATGAAATCACTGAGTGTCCCGGGGACGGAGAGAGAGAGAGGTTGGAGGTGGGGATATGCAAGTGATGAATGAATGAATGAGCGAACGAACACCTCTTTGGTGTGACTTTTCAGTGTTTAGCATGTCACTTGGTGACCTCATCTAAGGCACAGGGATCCTGTGACGCCCCCCCACCCCGGGAGCCCTGGTCCCTGTTCCAGCTGTGAGGCCTTGTGGGAAACGGACTGGGCCTGTCTCCAACAGAGCCCCCGTTCCCCCAGCCACAGATGGGCGTCAGGCCTCACATAACTGCACCGAGCAAACCAACAAGAGACAGGGGTGCCAAGGTCCCAGAGAGGGAGACAGCGCTGGAGGTGGGGTCAGCAGGTTGTGATCCATACAGGCCAGCCAGGCACAGGCTGCCCCAACCCCCGCGCCCCTCCCGCCAGCCCTTACCTCGATGGTGGGGGTCTGAGGATTTGAGGACTTGCCGGAGCAGGGTCAGCGTGCGGTTGAAGGCTGGCAGTCGCTTCTGCTCCTCACTGCCCAGCTCCAGGGAGATGCCATCTAGCCTGGGATCAAGAAGGGCACGTGGCTGGCCTGCCCCTCCTCCTGGTTGCCCCCAGGCTGCTTCAAGCCCCTCCCAGGCTCCCCTCGCCCCACGGCCTGGGGTCCCCCTGCCACACCGTGCAGCCTGACCTGATGAAGAGCGTTGCCATGGTGAAGTACCAGCCCCTCTTCTCCTCCATGGGCACCTGAGGAGGCAGAGGACCGCTAAGCTGCTGTCATCAGGGCACACAGAGCGCCCCTCCGAGACCCTCGCAGCCAGCCAGTGTCGTGGAAGGGCTTGGCCTTCAGCACCCCTGACCCTAGTCCTGGCTGAGAGACCTTGGGCAAGTCACTGCACTTGGTGGTAATGATGGGTGTAAAATCTCCTAGTTGGGTGCCCATCACGGAGCGGGTGTGAAGTGCATTTCCGGTGAATCCTGCCCCTCCTGTCCCACTGACCGAGCTCTGCTCCCTCCACCTGGCTCCCCAACTGCGCTCTGGACAACCCTGCCTCTGTGCCACCAGCACAGGCTGCCATCTCTCTGCCTGGCAATCCAAACGCCAGCCCCGGCCCCTCCCTCAGCCTTTCTGAGAAAGCCCCTCAGGGCATGCTAAGTGAGTCCAGTGTAGCTGGATCCTGGCCCCCCGCCCCCTGAATTGTTTCCCCTGCTATGATTCTTGCCAACCTTGCCCTGCATTTAGACCGACTTGGGAACCAGATAAAATATTTATGCCGTTATTTATGGGAGTAGCTGCTCCTGCCTCGGGAAGGAATTTTAATGAAAACCAATAAAACCCCTAGTGCATATCAGCAGCTCTGCCTGGGACTCCCCTCCCTCTGCATGACTCTCCTGTCATTCATCTCCAGGCTCATGCCTGCTCTCACCATGTCCCCCATCCCCCAGTCCCGGCCCCTCCCTTCACCCTCTCACCCTCAGGCTGGGTGGATGCGAACAGTTCCACTCGCATCGCTGAGCACCTACTGTGTGAGAGAGGAGCCCTGGTGGTGCAGTGGCTACCTGCTGGCCGGCTGACCTCAAGGTCAGCAGTTCAAAACCCCCAGCTGCTCCACTGGAGAAAGAGGAGGCTTCCTGTAAAGAGTCACATTCTCAGAAACCCACAGGGGCAGTTCTGTGTTGTCCAGTGGTGTCGCTGTGAGTCAGAATCAGCTCAATGGCGGTTAGTGAAGTGGGCAAGCCTGCAGGCGAGGCCATGTCCTTACCGCCGCAAAGTGGGGTGGCAGTATTGGCCTCGCGGGAGTTGGGAGGGCAGCACCTGCTGGGACACACGCTTCCCAAACACCTGGCCCTTTCCTTCTTCTTTGGGCTCCAGCTAAGCACGCAGGGCCCAGGACAGCCTGTCCACTTTAGTTTCTTATGAGGCTGAGGCTCCAGAGAACCCACCATCCACTTCTGGGGGGCCTGGAACCTTTCCCCGCACCATGGGGCTCCAGCATGGGAGAACATGCTGCTTTCAAGGCTCTTCCTGGCTCCGAAGTTTACAGCCGCCCGGCTGTGAGAGATTAAACCACGAGCTCCAAACCCCAGTTAGTAGCACAGGGCAGGACTGAGAGGTCAACTCGAGATTTCCTGATCCAGCACTCAGTTGACCCATGGAACCTGTTTGAGGACACTGAGACTAGAGGGGTGAAGTGACTTCCTCAAGGTCACACCTGGTTACAGTCTGCACTAAGCATATACAATACTACCACCTGGTGGCAGGATGTCTGAATTGCAGGGACAACTCCTAAGCATGCCCACGCTGCTTCCTCTCACCTTGAAGACAGATATTGCATCAATCAATAAATAAATAGCCAAGTGACAACTGTGGACCAATCCCAAACACTATCCTCATCAAACCCAACTGATAAGTAACATTTGCAGGGCGTCTCACGGAGTTGCCCGTGATGGCAGTGGAGATGGCATGGGGTTAATGGCCTGCACAGAGCACCTGGGCGTTAGACCTCTCTCCCCGTGGTGAAGCTGCTGGAGACTGTGTAATTCTGGCCCGGGCTGTCTCTTTAAAATCCTTCTGGTTGTCACTGAAGCAGCAACTGAAGCTGTTACCAGGGGCAACCTGGCAAGCCACGGTGCGTTAAATTAAATTAAACAGGCCTCTAACTGCCCCCTCCCCTCCTGAAGAAAGAAGGGGGGCTGTTCCACCTCTCTCCCAGAGAATAAAGTTGCTTCAAAACCTCTTATGGCTGCAAGGAATTCAGTTACAGAGTTTATGGCTCCCAGAGGCAAGATGCTTGAAGGCAGCCCGGGAGGGGTCTCTGAGGGCGTCTGCCAGAAGCAGAGACGCCTTTGCTGAGGGCTGTCGCCTGGCCTGGCGAGGCTCTGCCAGGACACCCCACCATTTCTCCTGTTTAATCTTCATCACATCCCTGTAGGCGAGAGGACCCTGGAGTCTAGGAGAGGCGACTGGTCGGCTTGGGAAGCTGGCGCAGGCTTCAAACTGGAGGGTTCTCCAATTAGGCTGCTGTTCTGGGCCGGGCCATTCATCAGTACTGACCCTACCTGAAACCCAGACTCTGGAACAAGCTAAAGGTGAGAATGCAGCGTTGGGTTACCCAATAAGCAAAGAAAGCATGTGCTTACCTTATTAATCTCCAGTGAACAATTTCACATAGTTTCACCCTATCAAAGGTCTTGCTCCTAGGCCTCTCTCCCAATCCCACGGCATCTTCCTATGGAATCAAAGCCTCTTTTCAAATGCACAGTTCTTGACAGGGCTGGAGCACCCAGTGATCACGGCAGCCACGGGCTTACCTGTGCTTACTTCAGCAGTGAATAGCTTCACGTGTTTTTTGTGGTTTTTCCCCCCACCACATCTTCGAAGCCATGTGCCACTGTTCACTATAGATTAGTACGTAAGCGGCAGTCAGCCCCTGCTGGGGACTCCGATCCTGGTTGAGAGTGGTGGGAAGAACTTGGGGTTCTCAAAACAGATTCCAGCCCCATGGAGGCCCTCGCTAATATTGTAGCGATGGAGAAACGGAGGCTCGGAGAAGTAAAGAAAGAGGTTTGCTTATATAATAAAATACTGGAGGGCAGGTCGCATTCTTCCCACAACTAATTGCAAGGACCTGGCCTTGTCCAGAGTCCCCCACGCACAGAGCCCCTTTCCACAGACAGTGTCACAGAGTCCCTGTGAGCATGTGACGTGGGTCTCTTCCCCCTCTTTGAGGGGCGGCCATGTCCTCTATGTCACATGGCCACTATATAAGCCTGAGCCGCAGCCTGGCGGGCTATTGGCGGTACCAGCAACAGTGACTCATCCTGAGCACTTACTATGCACCCAGCCCACAGTGACACATGCTAACCCATCCGACCAGCCAGACAACACTGCAAGACAGAGACCAGTAGGATCCCTGCTTTTACCAACAAGGCTGCGGTGACAGAGAGGGGCTAGAGACACGCCCAGACCAGCATGGCCAGAAAGCAGTAGAACTAAGGACCCGGCAGCTTAGTGCCAGACTCCCCTTTCCTCATTCTGCTCATCCAGTGGTCCTCAAAGTTGGACCCTGACCTTGCAGCATGGCGTCCCCTGGGATGCTGATCACTCTCATCCAGTCAATTCCGACTCACAGCGACCCTATAGGACAGAGTAGAACAGCCCTTGTGGGTTTCTGAGACCCACAAGGTCTATATCGGAGTAGAAAGCAGAGGGGTGGCTGGTGGTTTTGAACTGCTGACCTTGTGGGTAGCAACCCATACTACCAGTGCTCCGTGGGAAGCCCATTAACTCCCTGCCATGGAGTCGATGCTGACTCATCGCTACCCACCTGTACAATGTTTCCAAGACTATGACTGGGTGGGAGTAGAAAGCCCCATCTGTCTCCCGAGGAGCGACTGGTGGTTTCAAACTGCCAACCATGAGGCTTACAGCCCAGCGTGTAACCACTACACCACCAGAGAGCAGTGCTAAGTCTTGACCCACTGAGAGAAGCTTTCGGAGTGGGTCCACCAATCTGAGCCGTACCAGCTCTCTTAATGCACCCCGAAGTTAACCAGCCACAGCACTAAGCCCTCCCTCTGCAGGGCCACCCCACTGAGAGTGGAGAGAGGAGGGGCTGGCAGATGTATCTCTTGTTAAGTGGGAGGGTTAGGCATTATGATCCCCAGGGAAACCTGAGGACTGGAGTCTTGAAGTGCCAAACTCACAGGCCATGCACACTAGGATTCGAGCAAACCAGGACAGGAGTTGGTTTGTGTCAAGCTGGGCAGGTACACGAGTGGATCAAACTTTTCCATTTACTTCCAGTGGGGACCCCCAAAGAAAGAAATCTGGTGGGGGGAATATGGCGACCGTAAGAGATTTCAACAGCTTCTGCTAAACCAGGGCCGACAAGCTTTTGAAACAGAAAAGCCGATCCCTCACAACTTAAAAATGATTCGAGAGCCATAACCTATTTTCAGAGACAGACGGAATCACCATTTGCTGAATATGATCCTTCGCAAGAAACTCTGATAGTTTCATTTTCATTTGGCTTTAGAGTATGTACCAGCAGAGGCCCATATAGCTCAGCAGCCGCAGTTTACGGGCCCCTGGACTAGACCGACGGTTACAAATCTACGTAGGTCCTGTGTGGTGTGGAGGGTGTGTGCTCCACTACTTACTTAGAGGTTGGTGGTTGGATCCCACCAGTGCCTCTGTGAAAGATAGGGAAGACAGGCCTGGTGATCTGCTTCGGTCAGGAGGACAGCCAAGCAAGCCCCATGCAGTTCTCCTCTCTAACCTGTGGGGGCGCCACCGGTGGAATCGACCTGAGGCTTTCTGTGGCCACACTGGGCAGGCTGGTACAGAGCCCCGGTGGCTCCTCAGGACCAGGTTTGCCTGTGGTTTGAACTTTGTCCCTGGTGACAGCTGGGCTCCACGTTTCAGAACTGGCTCGTGAGAGCTGACTAACTTCCCTGCAGGAGGGCGTGACAAAGGGGACAGAGAATGGTTATCTGCACCCTGGCACTGGGTTCTCATGGCAGCTGGGGGCCGCACCTGCCTCCCTTTACAGGCGAGGAAACAGAGGTGGAGAAAAAGCCGGGGCCCAGCTCCGGTGACGACCAGATCAGTCTCCCTGCCACGGGCCTGCTCCTTCCTCCTCACACTGCCCTCGAGAAGGCTGATGCTGCAGAAATAGAAGTCAAAGGGTGGCAGGCCTCAAGGACTGGGCTCTTCCTGCATAACCGGAATGTTCTCTGTGGTG